ACGACTGAGAAAATTACAAACTGGCGCGCGTTAATTTGCTCTCAATAGCAAATTAAAAATTAACAATAAATTCGCCTGCTCTCGACCAATAACACTGAAGTATTTTTCTCAGTTCTGTGATGATACATGAAAACCACGGGCGCGTTTCGAAGGACTGGCATTCTAACCATCGATATTAGGTCCCCTCAACATTACGCCGAACGAATTAAAAACGCAACAATCACCGGTTATTTTGGATTTGTGTTTGAGGAAAACTCGGCAGGGAAATCACGTGATTATCGTGACGTCATCGTTTTCGGAAAGCTGTGTTTCCGAAATGTTTTCCGTCCAAACGAAAACGAAAAGTTGGCGTTTTGAAATTCCTCCGGTTTGAAGAGCGTTTTCGAAAAGCTCCGTTTTCGTGACGGATTAGTGTGGACGGTAAACCTAACCATAGAAATAAAGCTGCGTTTTCAGATTCCTCCGACGTAGTGTGAACGCTTTCTTAGATACCTACTTAGCCCATCAGATTGCGAGTTTGCTACTGATCACCCCACAGGAAATTTAAATAATTTTTATTTATCTTTTCCGTTACTACACTGAATTAACAGACAGAGAAACGGGGTATGTTTCTTAGATTAAATGAACGCTCTGAAACATCTTAACCCCCTTGCTGTACAATCTCTACGAACATTATCTGGCAAATTACAGAGACTTCGAAATCGTGCTGTCAGCGTCCTTACTCATTCTAGTTATGATGCTGACGCCAACCAACTATTTAAAGAACTAGGCTGGGACAATTTAGAAACTCGACATCAAAAACTAAAGTCTGAGATGGTCTTTAAGTCCTTAAATGGCCTCGCACCCAATTATTTGTCCTCGAAATTTCATTCAGCGGAGTGATGTGATCAGTACTTCTTACAATTTGCGCGATTCTGATAATAAGCTTGCTATTCCCTTGCCACGTACTAACCATTACAAAAATAGCTTTGGCTATAGTGTTGCAGTCCTCTGGAACAGTCTACCCTCAGCTGCTAGGCAAGCAACATCTCTGACTAATTCCGACGATTGTTAATTAATTCCGACACGGCATTCATACTTTTCTTTAATAGTTAGCAATATTTTTAAATTATAGAAGATTAATCTGTATACATAACCTTTCGTAATAAGTTGTAGCTTTTATATTAAATTGTTAATGCCTGATGTATTCACCGTGTTTTTAAATAAAGATGATGATGAACATAAAAAACGCAACAAAACA